AAAGAAAAGCGAGTACGAAACGAAAGACGAAATGAAGTCGAAAAGTGGATCAATAAAAAAAACGGAAGGGCAGTGGTAAGAGTTTAAATAAAGAGGGAAATTATAGAGAATATATAAACCAGGTGAGTGATAAATGGTGGCGCATGTTGATACAGTGTGAGTGAGTAACGGCATCGAGAGTGAAAGAGAAAAAGAAAAAGTGAATGGAATGCAAATATATGCATGGAGGTGAATTATTGTTAGTTTTTTGTGATATTTTTTGTTTAAGTTCAAAAAAGTAAAGACAGACAGATTTACGTACAAATTACAACATGAATGGTGAGAGGTGAACATGTAAAAACGACGGATAAAATAGTGAACAATGACGTGAAATACAAAATAAAGCGAGTGATATATGAGGTAATAAGATACGAGTGGTTAAATAAGCAAAAAAATTTGTGGTAAGTATAAAATGTGGTACGTTTATTGAGATATGTTTTAGTGAGAAATAGACAAAGGAAATGTTATTTGACGTATTTCATAGCGTGGTGAATATAAAGTATGGTGAATATTTTTAGTGAAGATTTGCAAATTTTTTAAACGTTTAGGTGGTGTGTTAAATAAGTGATGAGTTTGGGTTTTAGTATTGGAAAATTTTGGGTGTGGTGAGGTTTTTTTCGCGTGAATAATTTCGTAAGCGTTTAATTTTAAAGATTATGTGAAGCGTAAGTATTTGCCCAAATAAATTTACTCAACAAAGTGTGGTGAGTATGAAAAATTAAGATATAATGAGTAGCACACGATTTTAATTAAATAAAATTATATATTTATAAATAAAAAAAAAGTGGTGAATTTTGAGATAAAAAATTTAAGAGCAATTGTTAAAAGTTTTTTCAATAAAATTTTGTTTGATATTTGGTTGAAAGATTTTGAAGCATACATTTTTATTTGTTAAATTTCGAAAGTCCAATTTATAGCAAAATTTTATTCGAAAATGTGTGGTATATTTGGTGGTGTAGTTGTTCGTAATTTGATTTTGCAAAGCAGCCGATTGTATAAAGAAGAAATTATGAAGAAAAAATTTGTTTTCAAAGTGTGGTGAATTTATCGGTGAATAAATCCGTTTTTTTTTAAGTTATGGGGAAATTAAAAGTTATATATGTTGTTTTGAATGTGTGGTGAATTTGTTTAAACCGAATATCAAATTTTTTGTTTACAAAAAACAGTTTTTTTGCGTACGACGATATACAAATTTAGTGAATTTTATTTTGTGGATAAGTTTTTATGATACGATGAAGTTAATAAAATTATTTTGAAAATGTGGTGAATTTTGTGGCAATCATATTTAAACAAGATATTCAGATTTTGATTATTTTAACAGTTTTTATGCGAGTGGAGAAAATAAATTGGAATATGTGTGGTGAGTAAAATGAGTATGTATTTATTTAATGTTAAAATGATGATGAATATGCGCAAATAAAATTATGCAATAATAAAAAGTCATGATGAGATTTGCATACAAACATCAAATATATTTATGAAAAGATAATTTTTACGGTGTGGTGAAGTTTAAAATATATAGACAAAAAGTGAAAACATACATTGTGGCAAATGCATAATGCAGAATATTTTTTGTGAATAGAATTTTGTTAAAAAAAGCATTCGTGATGAAGTAAAAATAGGGGGAAAAATATTTTAGTGGTGAATAAAGCAAGCCAATAAAAGAGGAAAATGGATACGGCATTCAAGTTTGAAAAATGAGACATAATTTCATTAATTTAAAATTAAAATCACACCACATATTTTTTTTTTTAAAGAATGTGATGCGTCAGGTGTGGTAAATTGAGTTATATATTTAAACAAGCATTAGATTATATATATTATATTTGAAAAAAAAGTTCACAAAACACGCGTTCCAAGGTATTGAAGGCACCAGCACACAATTAAACCAACGAACGTTCAAGGTGTAGATATATGTATATTTTACACGGCAGACAGGGAGAACATATACAGAGCGAAAGAGAAAGGAATATAAAAAAGAAAAAAAAGACACATCGATATATTTGTATTAGTGTGGATTGAGACTCTTACTGGAACAATCCGTTGAAGATATCCATTTCTTTTTGTCCTCAGGATTCAGTTGATTCGTATTTTTGTTCCGTATCGAGCGACCCCAACCGGCGGTGATTGTGCCCAAGCGGCTAAAGGCGCGTTTCACCATCGGCGAAGAGGGTACACTCTTTGGTCGTATCGAATCGGAATCGGGCACGGTGAGATAGTTGTTGCTTTTGGGCTTTTGGTTTTGTGGTGAAACCAGTGATGGTGCTGGACGCGCAAAAATCTCAGCGACAGGAATCTGCGGTGAACCGAAGCCGGTCTGAATGCCGTATAGCATTTCCTGTGTGCAAAAGCAAGTAAGTGCTAGTGCTCAAAAAGAGTTGAGGGGAAAAGAAATATGTAGCAACATTTACTCACCTGAAATACGCGACTGCGCACGCCCAATATCGCGCGTACGCCTATGAAACGCGCCTTCTGCTTCGATTGTCCCACTAAGAAGACGACATCGAAGAGGTGCGCATGTTGCAGGCACGATGGTTCTTCGTTTAGGAATACACGCGTAAAGTCCTTCGCCAACTGATCGTAGTCCTCGAATTGATCGCGTACCGAGTCGAGTAGTGGCGATGAGGGACGCATGTGACCTGTAAGGGAGTAGGGTGAGCAAATGAAAGACAAAGCGGAAAATTAGTGGATTCTTGAAGACAGCGAATAGTATTAGGATGAGTGGGAGTCTAGAAGAGAGTAGAACGCTAAAGGGTTCAACAAAACACCAACGGAGAGGGTAGGAAAGTGGATGCTAAATTTGAATTGGAACTCAAACGGATGAAAATTAATTACCTTAGACGGTTTCAGATAGCTTTTTAGGAAAATTTTATGTGCAGTTATAAAAGGATTGTGAGGGTACAAGTTTTAAGGTTAAACAGAATTATGGTTCTCCAATTTTGGGAAATAATTTTGCTATATTTTTCTAACTCATTCACACCGAAAAATTATTAGTTGCTGTGATAAGCTCCAAGCATCGCATGCGGGTCATTGAAAAGGTTCAAGTTCAACTAATCTTCAAAACAAAAAAAACAAAAAACCAAAGACTTTTCAATCCTAAATTTGGTGGTGAACATTTTCTACAAAACTAAAGAGAAAAAATTTTCTTATCTAAAAGATATGCTCATTTTAAAGGAGATTCATTCTGACCTTAAAACGATTTTCGAAAAATGGGCGAAAAAAATAAACCTTTTAAAAGTACGTAAAAGTCTCAAATGCAAAAACTTTCCAAAAGTCGAAAATTTTTAAAGAATTTTTTATTTTTTAGAACAATTATAACTTAAACATCTTTGTAAAGTTTTTATAGACTTATATTCAACAATTTTATTGGGATTGCTGCCGTTTGTTAGAGGCAATCTTAAAACATACCAGAAAAATAAAAAAAATGTATTTTCTCCAAAAAACTGGCAGAAATTAAAAAAAAAATACGATTTTTTCCATAGTCTCAAATTAAAAAATTTCAACAGTCAACCATTTTTGAAGAATTAAAATAAGAAATAAATAAAAAATAAATATATAATATATATATATATATAATAAAAATAAAGAAATAAAAACTAAGAATTAAAAAAAAGAAGAAAAATTAAAATTTTTTAACTTTAAAATTTTCACAAAAATTTCAAATTTCGCTTCTTACACCATTTTCAAAAGCAATAACAACAAGCAAGTAATTTTTAAGCAAAAAACAAAACGGAATTCAATTCGCATATAAAATTTAAGATTTTCTTTAATTTCTTCATAATGCGATGATCGGATTTAAATCAAATTAGTATGGGACCATCTGTGAGGAACATCTTTCCTCTAAAAAAATTATAGAAATCGGTTAACATGGTCCAAAAACGTGGTAAAAAAAACGGTTAAAATATATATATGTATGTAAATTCTTGCAAAAAAATTCCAAGAACTAAAAAAAGTTACCTATTTAGCAATTTTAAATTATTATAATTTGTTTATTTAAAAATCGTTTTCTTCTAAAACAATTTAAAAAATCAAAAATTATAATACTATCACACAAATTTTTATTGCAAGGCTTCCATTGCGACTTCTCAAAGGGTTTTACAGTGGTAAATATGATGTACATACATAAGAAATTTTGGCAAGCGTTAAATAAACTAGCCTCAAAAAGAGCGAAAGGTACAAGAAGTGATGAAAAATTAATAAAATGAGAAAGTAGGTAAAAATATAATATAATTTTTATTGCTAAAATACTACACAGGGTGATCCAAAACTGCGTACAAATACTTGGCACAAGTATTCCTTGGACGCAAAAAAAAAAAAAAAAAAATGGGGGACATTTTTTCTCGCCAAGGTTTATTTACTGACTAACGGCCAGTTAAAGATAAATCGATTACAGCATTGAAATCATTAATTTTTTGCAAATTTTGAGCAAAAATCTTTACGTCCGAAGAATTTAAATCGTAATTTTGAGCCAAATGTTAAATAACCTTTAATTGGATAAGTTGAAGAATTCTGAAGCTTCAAAAATTAAAATATGTATTTAATCTATAAATTTTATAATGAAAACTTCAAATATCAAAGTATTTAAAAACCCTAAAAAAGTATCTGCAAAGTATTTCGCATAGCAAAAATTTTGAGTTTTTTTAATTATGGAAAATTCAAAAAAATTTAAACTTTTAAAATCTGAAAAAGGGAAACATTTTGTTTAATCAGCTAAAACATTTTCGCAAAGCCTTTTAAAAATCTAAATTTTAGTTATTTTGAAAAAAAAAAAAATTGGAAAATGTTCGTAACTTCTTCAGATCACTACTCACAAGTATCCTTTCATATTAAATTTTTATCGAATCATAGTTCTTTGCACTTACACTACGTAAAATACATACATGTATGTCTTATAGTCGGATACATTTCCTACAGGATATCTGTTTGTACATATGTATGTATGCGTGTACCCAGTAATCGTTGCTGAAAGTATCGAACGCGCCTGAGAATATGCATGCGTGCTTGCTTCAAATATATTTGTATTAAATAAAATAAATAAGGGTGATAACAGTTTGTAGAAGTTTTTGCAGAAAGTGTTTTGCTTTTTTTTTTGTTCGGGGGGCACTCAAGCAAATGAGCGTATAAATAAGTGTATAACATGGATGTGTAGACACACAAGCTCCAACGTACTATGTATGCACATAGGTGTGTACACCTTAATATAAAAAGTTATTGGCTAAAATGCCAAACTGTTGATATTTACACAACTGCTTTTGCATTCGGCCGTCGTAACGCTAACAGACCTAATCACATACGCCTGCATTTTAGCTCTTAGAAGCTGCGTTATAAGTATGTGGGACATTTACTCGTAGTGCTATCGAAGTATGTAGAAACATGTTCACAATTAAATCGTAAAATTCTGAAGCAAAAAGTATTCACTTTATTCCACTACATTTCGCACGCTGTACTCCAACATTTCCCTTCAAACATTTATTCACTTTTCAAGCGCTTCATCACCATTTTCTACATACACTTGAATTTTATGTAGTGCAATCTATGCTTTGATGCCACTCGTTAAATCCTTGAAAAGTCTATACACACATTCGCTAGCCCTCCTAATCTCCATCTGTCTCTCGCGCCTACTCTTCTTCGTTGCGGTTGCTCGCTTGTTGCCCAAGAAATGCCACAAGCTTTAGTGACCTACTCAGTGCTCATTTAGCTATTCAAAGATTCTTACGGCATTCTGCATACATATTCAAATACCTTTCACATACATATATTTACTAAGCCAATGGGTTGCGCAGTTGGGGGAGAAAGAGTTAATTGTCTTGCTATTCTCATATTGTCTGAGTACCATTCGATTTGGCTCTTAAGCTCAAGTACTCAATGTCGATTGGCAGTTTGAGATTTACTTAAGCTCGAAAATCTACCAGCAAGTATTCTATTAAAGTATGCTCCAATAAATGATGTGGTTTCCTTGTTTATATGCTGGTTGTGTACAAGGATGTATTAGTTTTAGGGTAAATAGCTGGAAATGTACTTAAAGTAAAGTGATAGTAAACCTTGTGTGAAGTGATGACGCCGAGAGGAAGACTTCCGAGAAAAAGTTATCTATGCAGCGTTCAATGATAGCCTTTGAGTTCATCAATTCTTTAGGGAGATGGAATTGCTTAGTTAAATTTTAATGAAGATGAGAACGTAGCAGAAGCATACAATGGCAATGGTGTCTACTTGCGCAGTTTTGCCTTCATTTGTGACTATTTTAGCAGTGAAAAAATACCAGCCAATACTTCAAAAGCAGCAGTTAGTTCTCAGACATCTTAAACTAATTTCTTTTTACTAAAAGATGGGCCCGGAAATATGCACCTTTTATGCGCCTGAGAGCTTTAATGTTGCATATTTTTAGGTAAACCTGTTACTCATACATTTATTTTCCCAAGATTTTCAAACTCATTAGAGGTTTCTCTAAGCTTCTCAGACCTTACTTGTTAGATTAGCAAAAAGTTCGCCAAAAAGTATGCTACGGAAAATGAAAAAATAGATTGTTACATTTTACTAGTTACTTCATTCGCAGACTTAGCATAACAAAGGAATTCTCAACTGTTTTAAGAAAATAAATGATAACAACTGTTTATTGTGAGAGTATGCCTTGCGATACTTTGCTTTAAAATTATGTGAAAGAGTGAATTTTGGGGGACCACTTCTAGTTTTAAAGTAGTAAAAAATGAGTTCCTCAATTCACTCAAATCATTAACGCATTAAGACACATTCCTCTCTTACATCGGCTTTCTAGGCTTCCAATGGTATTCCTTCAGCAAATATTGCGAATTTATTTGTAAGGGCCAAAGACTGGTATTTAAAGAAAATGCGTTTCTTCGCTATTTCCAAATCGAACAGCCTAAAATATGCATCGTGTTAGCTAAGCTCCTCTTTTCCAATTCTCAATATGAAAAATTTTGCTGAAGTCAGTAAATCATCGATTCCAAAGTTTTTGATTGACCTATTATGGATTTACAAATTACATCTCTTACCAGCAGCGTTGGTACTTTGCTGCGATTGCAGTAAATTTGCTACGATTTTTCAAAAACTTTAAAATTTGCTACCCCACTACACTTTTGACTATTTCTACTACGTTTTTTATATTTCATTCAACTTATAGGCAGCAACTTTTTGTAAATCACTATAATTTCAGAAATGTCAAGATCTAAATATAAACTCTTACTGCAAATTGTGCAAGAAGCATCTGCGGCAAAAATTGGCACCACCGACAGGGTTGCCACCGAATAAAAAAAAACAACAACAAAAAGTTATTATAGACAAATACAGTGACTCAAAAAACTGCATAGTGATTTTTTTTTTACATTCAAAGTGTTTTTCAAGTATACATTTTTTTTGCTATTTTACGCTTTAACTAAGTCCATAAAAATCAAGGATTCAATCTGTATACAACATTAAGAAAAATTCAAAACATTGTCGTCCGAATTTCGAACTTTTTACTCTGAATTTTTAGAAAATTGTTGGGTATGCAGTTTTATAGCCCATGAAATTTTAGGTTAACCAACAATGTGCTGTGCAGCTAAAAATTCCCACTGATTTTTTTAAATATTTTTGCCGCCGGTCTTTTGTGTTTTTTTCTCGTTTAACAATTTCCATTTATAAAAACGGGCGTTAATTTTTTTATTTTTTTTTTTTGTGAAAAGT